AATGCCATAGCTGCTGGTGGAAGAACTTAGAACCAAGAAACCCTGGAACATGTCTGATACCAGCTCTGAAGTTAAAGTCTGATCAGCTGGTTTTGTTGTTGTCAGTATATGTGTCCAAACAAATGGACCTTTAGTGGTACCAGGCATTAGTGTGTGTGTCCATTATTTATATATATATAATTATTTATATATGTGTGTGTGTGTGTGTGTGTACACACACTTGAGCGTGAACCCTAACCAGCACGTCGGCGAGTTAAACTGGCAGAACATCTTTGTAGATCCACAGCAGCCAGCTTTATTTCTAGCTTTACCTCCTGGTTTCTTTTCTGGCTTCAGCAAACTTGTGTCTGAGCAGGAAGGCGGCCACAGCTTCAGCCACCTGCAGAGCAAAACAGAGCAAAACAGGAAACACCAGAAAGCTTCCAGCAGCACAAATGATTTACTTCCTTCACTTTTCTAAGGTGGCAGGAATCTTTGGAGCTCATCCTGTAAAAGTGAGACGTGTTGGTTGAGTGAACGTATTCATCATGTGACCCTCAGAACCAGAACCATGACAAGTTTGAACTGTGAAGAAGCTGCAGGCCTCAGCTGTGTTCGGTCTGCAGCCCTTCATCAGCCAGTGAAGGTGATGCTGGATGCAGCTGGTCGTCCTGGTGGAGGCTCAGAGGAACGTTGTCTGTACGTGAACCTGCTGAAATGGGATTATTCACTCCAAGTCTGGATGCTGGTTATTTGTCTGTTAAGGGTGAAACGCTTTTAAAACCTTAGAACCTGCGAAACGTTTCCTGTAAACTTGCTGCAGAGACTTTAGTTCTTGTACTTGAAGGATCCCGCCTGCACACTAAACGTGGAACATCTGACATGCTGGACTCCGTCGCTTGATGAATGTGATGAACCAAAACATCCACGGAGGTTTCAGAAGTCCCAGTTCCATCTGGTGTTTTGTCTTCGGCTGAAGTTCTTTTATTTCAGCAGCTTATTGTTTCCTTCTGCTCTCACTCAGTGGCACCAACCGTTTGTCCAGATGTTCCCACCGGACGGAGCATCAGCTGACATTTTCATTTTAGATTTTCTGCAGTTTCCTTTATAAATTACAACTTTGTCATGAATTCAGAAACACTTCGCTGATGTTTGATCATGTTTTTAATACAACTAATTGGCAAATTTAACTTCCTCAACAAATCTGTAATTCTTGAAAACGTGAGGTTTAACTGGACCGTAATCGATGTGGAGGACAGGAACAGTTCTTACTTTTTCTGGTTTGTCTTCTTGCACTGCATGGCCACAGGGGGGCAGCACCTGCATCATGAATTTACCTGGAAACAGAGAGCAGACAGGTGAGAGGTCTGTCGGCTTCAGCAGCAGCTGAGTCAATGAAAAGCCCAATGAATGCTGTTAGAAGTAATCCGATTACCCCAGGGCTGGAGCTTTCATGTAGTGAATCTGAACTGGGAGTCTGACATCAGAGACAGTACGCTGCTGTTAGAAGTAATCTGATTACTGTCAGGGGATACAGCGTTCGTCTGGTTTGTCGACAGTCTGTCAGTTCCAGTGTTACTGAAACACGAGCAGCTGGAAGGGTTGTGTGTCTGTTGTGTGTCTGTTGTGTATCTGTTGTGTATCTGTTGTGTGTCTGTTGTGTATCTGTTGTGTGTCTGTTGTGTGTCTGTTGTGTATCTGTTGTGTGTCTGTTGTGTGTTTGTTGTTTGTCTGTTGTGTATCTGTTGTGTGTTTGTTGTGTGTTTGTTG